CCAAAAATAATGATTGTCCCAGACAAAAACCATTCCGACCCCAAAACCTGGACTCCATCCGCAGAAAGTTGATGCTTTGCATTTGGTGGGACATCAAAGGAGTAATTCATTTCGAACTGTCAATGCAGAGATATTTAGTCGGCAACTGGAACGTTTAAATCGAGCCTTTCATCAGAAACGCCCTTCAGTGGGAAAGGTGTTTTTCTCCACAACAATGCACGTCCGCATGTGATTATGGAGTTGGGTTGGAAAGTTTTCCCCCATCGCCATATTTCCATATATGGCACAATCAGATTAACGTCTTTTTCGTTCGCTGCAACATCATCTTAATGGGAAAACGTACGTAAATGTAGAAAATGTTAAATAGGACATTGACATGTTTTTTTGCTTGAAAGCCAAGTGATTTCTTTAATCAGGGCATTAATAACGTGATTGTAAGATGGAAAAGCATCATCGATAAGAATGGAGACTATTTCATAAATGTTTTGTTTTGATATATAAGTTCGGGTTTTTTCATCTAACAAAAGCGTCATTAATTTCTTGACGAACTAATACATCATCGTCTAGCAACAAATCTCACCTGATTGTTCTCAGGCCAGCTATGGTGTTTATAATTGAATGCTCAATATTCGTGTTGACTTATTAGAAAGGTTTTGTTTTTATTCTTTATTTTTTGATAACTTCGATGATATAACACCAAAACAGTTTAATTTGGAAGTTTTATGACAGCTGTAGCCAAAAGCAAAAATACAATTTACCAAATAGTGTTTGAGTTAAGCCTATGTCACGTTTATGTATTTAAATAAACTACAAATAGGCCTACTATTACTATTGTCAGTATTTACAATTTTAAGTGTTGAATAAATTTTAATTTATGAATATTCCTTTGGTATTTTAACACATTACCTACCAACTATCTTATTCTTTGTACGGTCGAAAGAATTTCAATTTGTGTCTGAATGTCTGCACTGTTTTCTACTTCCTGACCTAGAATACAGCTAAGACCCAAGAGTGTTATTTAAATCTTTTTTTAGAGTGCACACGTACTTTTGTTCACGATAATTATTTATTTTTCTGCGTAGTTTTTACTAAAAATGTGGTGATTAAAGAATTATTTCGAGACTGATTAAAATAAGCGGAGTAGGTGCATTTTGGAGTTATAAACAGATTCGTTTTAGTTAAATTATATTATTTTTATTAATCATATGACAATGGTTTTCCACAATTTTTGACGGGCTTTTATACTAATTAATAATAATTAATCTTATGAGAAGTAGCAGGCGAACTACAAAAACCTATGACCACTGCTTTAGGTAATAAGCATGAAATGGTTCCTTGAGGTGTATGATATCGTATCATTTAGTTTCTTTATCTATTTAGGTTAACGATGCCTATAGTATTGTATTACGATACAGTGTCTTTCACTTTTTCATTGGCCCGGCATGGCCAAGTGGTTAGGGTGCTCGACTCGCAATCTGTGGGTCGCGGGTTCGAATCCTCGTCACACAAAACATACTCGCCCTTTCAGCCGTGGGGGCGTTATAATGTGACGGTCAAACCCACTATTCGTTGTAAAAGAGTAGCCCAAGAGTTGGCGGTGGGTGGTGTTGACTAGCTGCCTTCCCTTTAGTCTTACACTGCTAAATTAGGGACGGCTAGCGCAGATAGCCCTCGTGTAGCTTTGCGCGGAATTCAAAACAAACAAACACTTTATCAGTGATAAGACAGGGCACCACGGAATCAAAGCAATATACTAGAATAGGATTAGTTTTTTTTCCTACGAATATAAATATTTAAGTGTATCTACAACGTTCAGTGGATAATTGAGTTTTTGTATATTTGAATACGTACATTTCAAACACTAGTGTGTTAATATTCAAGTACCTGAATGATCACACTTGTGTTCGAAAAGCTGTACGTTTTCCAAAATACAAGAATTTCCAACTATCTACTGTAAATAAAATTCCACCTGGTGGCCACTTTAACAATGAACTCCGCCAAATTTTGTCTTTCAACGAAAAAACAAAAGGGAAAAGAACAAGGAACTATAAGATGGGGGAACTTTCCTACTAAAAAAAGTAAATTGTGATGGAAACGTCCTGAGGTATGATTGTAGAAATGAATTTTTTCTAATTTTACCATTTCCTTCTCTGTGTGTATTTTTAATATAAGCACCATCATTCTATAACTTGAATTTTGAGTATATTGTTAATTATTTTGAGGTATGATGATTTCTAATAGCTGCAATTGTTTAATTAAGGCACTGGGTGTTTTTAAATTTTTTATTTCATGACTTAAAATCTCGTGTATTTATGGAACCAACAGTTTTTCCACATTGCTTTATAAAGCACTGAAGTAGCGAGACATTATTCAGTTGTACTAAAGAAATATAAGCAAAGGTACTTTTAAAAACAAACTCCGACCTAATAGGAAGGCCAACATCATCATTATTGAACATGCTATATACCTCCGATGATATCGTTTATATTAAATACTACTAACAGTACTACTGCTCTAATCCCTGTGCATCAGATGATCCCCCACCAGATAACGGATTGATGGATGTGATCTGAGCTCCACTTGTCATCCACATTCCATTTCTAGTACACCCTTATGCAAACCAGCTTGAACATACATTAGGTCAACAGTCTCTGATCTGTCTTCCAGGATCTCGTATGTGAGGGACAATCATGTAAGCTCTGTGCAAACCTGTTTTGGGGAGGGTGTCTTCATATTGGATTATCCAATAAAATTCTGTCTACAATGCTGGTTTGGAAAACATTTTGGTTATGAAGAAAGAAAAACCTTTTGGCTCATTATGCTTTCTTGAGTGATTTATTAATTTTTTTTCCTTCTTCTGTACTTGATTTGAACATACTAACCACCAAGAATTCATTAGATATCTGTCCTCTTCCACAGGATCTTTTGACAAAATTGAACAACTTTGCTGTCCTTTTAGGTTGTGATGACATGTATCTATTCAGCATTTAAGCGGCTAAAGAAGAAATTATATGTACAAATATCAGCCACTTGTCAACTCAATGATGGTTGTATCCACTAATTTCCCCCAGTAAAATACTGTGACATAAGGGAATCCATGAATCATGAGAAGAATTACTCACTCTGTAGGCTACAACACAGCAGGACATATGAACTTGAAAAGCAAGAAATAAAAATATGTGTTACTTTTATTTTTGGTTTAGTTTACAGAACAATTTTGAAAACTCTGTTGAAGTATATCTAGTAGATGCCTTGTGTCTGTCTTTTGTGCATATCTTACTGATGGGCAAACTAATGGACTTATTACATTTTATCAAATGATGTTAAACATTTACACCTAGACAACTCCATGACATGATTTTTGTGAAGGAAGATTTAACGATGTACCATATCTTCCTTATGAACTGGTTGTGAAAACACAAAACAGATGTAATTGTCATTCAACAGAGGAATCTGGTCTTTCAAGGGTTGTTGTAAAGGTGGAATAAATAGTCACATAAAACAGTGGTAGGCATTTTCCAACTTGTAGGTTGCTTTTACAGAAGATCATGTAAGAAGTGTCAGCAGTCTGCCCTCATAAAATACGTAAGCTGGTTCAGCAGTAACATAACACATGCTCAAACTGGTGAACTAACTCAACAGATTGTAAAGTCCAAAATGCAAGAAAGTTGATTTGAAAAAACATTTTAAATACTGATCTGGTTTGCCCAATAATACACTTCAACTGTTTGAATCACTTCACATTTAAAGTGATTCTTGTTGATTGTTTCTGTGTACAATACACAAGTAATTTCTTCATGCCAAAGAAGTTTATAAAAATGCTTTATTAAAAACACAATAACTACATCAGAAACATTTCTCTCAAGATATTACAGAGCAGGTAGACAAAAATACGGAACTTTTTACTTATTTACATGTAGTATTTTACATTTTTTTAATAAGACAAAACTTCTGAAGTCTGTATTTTTACATACATAAGCTTTGAACTTTAAAACATGTTTACAAATGTTAGTTAGATTTCTGCACGTAATGAACTTCTGGACTGAAAGGTATATACAGTATTTACAGCTGGACCTTTCACTTTACAGATCAAGTAAATACTGTACAGTTTACAAAATGTGAAAAAAAAACTAATTGAACTATAACCAACCACAGTAACTATCTGTGTGAAAGCATGTACACGCATGTGAAAACCACACTGAAATGTAACTAAAATAACATGCACCCACATCCTGCAGACAATACTAAATTCAACTAACTATTACTTACTAATGTCTATGAAAACAACACACACACACACAAATGAATCAAAAACTGTATGTCATATTAAATATAGAAAAATCCAAATACAAACTACACTTGTATACTTAATACCATTCCGAAACGTACATGAGAACAGCAAATTAGGGTTACTTTACCTAAATGATGATATTGTTTAACTAAAGCTATCACTAATATATATATATGTTTGTTGTAATATATCCAGACCTACCATTATGTACAATTATCACTAAATAATATGGTCGAGTGTGTGTATA